TTCAACCATCCTTCATCATACTTGCATTGGCATTGTACAAATTTCAAATAGCTTTTTTCATCACACGACAAAAGTGAGGGTAAATCTCATTCTTAAAAAAGCAATAAGCTATTAAATATGCAATTTTGCCTGGGTGGGAAATAGTTGGAGAAATATCCCATTCGAGGAATCTTCCCAGACATTCGCATTCGAATCCTGATTCTAACAAATGTTAGCAACATAATAGAAAATCGCTATCATTATCTATTTTAATAATTTCATATCCAAGTTCAAGGTCAAACCTCCCGTAGTGAGACACGTGTATTTAAATCCACATGAAAATCCCAATCACCTCTGTCTCATCCAAGTGAGTAAGTTTACATAATAAAGAATTGTGGATGGAATGACGAATAATATTGCATAATCATGATAATATTCTTTTGAAAAATTAATTATATGTTTAGTTGATGTTTCATATGCGAATAAAACTTAGCTTTGAAGCTGTTAGTGATATCATGTACATAAGGATACGGACTTATGAAGTTGCAAGTTCATTGTATCATTTATTTCTTGTTTTTGTGGAATGTGCTTTAATTAGTTTTTTGTATTACGTGTGGTTGTAGGAAATTACACCAATTGTGCGTAGTAATGTAAAAGAACCAGAGTTTCAATATATGAACATTAGTATAAATATGTATTACCACAAACGTATCTTGTGATTGCATCTAATAACCACCCTTCTGACTTACATAGGCTAGTTATCCGAAAATCATGAAAATGGATGATGTAGACTCTCTTTATCTAAACTTATTAACCAAAAAGGTTAGCTAAATCAAAGAGATACAGTCATCAACACACTCTAAATTAATGTGAATAAAAAAGATATTGCTGGCAGATTTTCGAAGAAAATCCAAGGCAAATAACGCAAAGTCATTGGTTAAGTCTGCGCTCTTCCTTACGTTGTAATAAATGGGAAAATCTAATCTATGGTCATTGGTCAGTCCCACAAATATTATGGTATCTGTTTTGTGTATCAATTCATCATTTAAATTTATAAAATCAGGAAAGTATTCAAACGTCATAAATTTTGAATAATTAACATTGAAAGTCAAGTAATCGTTGTAGCACCATTTTTTGAATGATTGTATCACTATCAATTTTTGTCTTAATTTCATTTATATCTTTATCATGCCAAAGTAATGTGGTATCGTCAGCAAAAACTACGAATTCACCATTTATGCTTAAGTCTATACAGGGTGACTTCGAAGTTGAGTCATTTATTTTAACAGTGAGTAGATCTGATCAAAAGAAATGTTTTTTTCCTTTACCATTTTTCTGGTAAAATTAAAGTAACAAAGTTATAGCCCTTTGGAAGTTTGAGTACCGCCCTGTCTCAATAATAATATTATGTGCTCGTGTTTGGCGACAACGGATATAATCCGCCGTATCGGTTCATCGCATCGCAAACAAAAAAGCGACAGAATTTGGAACGACGTTTTTACAATTATTTTATTCATTTGTATACAGTCAATGTCAGTGAATAGTGGTGTCTGTTTCGTGGCTCAAACGAAATAAAAAATGGCACATGTTTATGCGGATCGGTTTCCCAATCGAGTGCAACCAACCCCTCGTGCCTTTGTTAATGTAGTACAACGGGCTCGTGAATCAGGTGACTTAAGACCTCACAGGGGACCTCACGATCAAATACAGGTCCGCACTGAAATACTTGTCGGGAGGATACTTTATAAAACAAGGTAAACATTTTTTTTTATTTTTACACACATATTTTGGTTTATCTTCCTTCTACAATCATTATCTGAAAATTAATGACTCAACTTCAAAGTCACCCTGTATAGACTAAGAATAGGATGAGACCTAATACTGATCCTTGAGGTATATACAATTAAGGATCTGAAGGATAGTAACATCTCGAACGCAAACATATTTCTTGATTTACTATTAACTTGCTCGTCATCGGCACCAACTGAATCACTTTAAAGAACACAGAATCACAGGAGAAGTACCAACTTTTATACGATTATATATTAATTTTTGAGAATAAGATTGAACGTTAGCTGAAGTGCTACATCGACATCCACAGACAAATATTTCATCAACTGGTATGCAACTACAAATCGCTGATTAATTAGTTCGATTGCCGTCATTTTGGTGTGAACGTTTGTATTTTGAATACATACGCTAAGGCGGGCTGCCATTGGATTGGTCTGATCAATAACTGAAAAAAAACTTAAATTTTAAAAACGTGATAATGAAGTTTCGTTGTACGATGTTCTTTACAATGTAGTGATGTGTGTATCAATAAGAAGCACGATTGTGTATATATATTATATGTATCATTCCACGGAAAATTAGACAGGCAAGTAGTAAACGTGCTCATCGTTTATTACTGTAGATGACTTGCAGAGCGGACTTTGCCTCATGAACCGACTGAGATTTGCAACACATGCCGACGTTAATAGACTGCTTGGCTCTCATCCGATGAACCTTGCATTGCTTGTTTACCACTTTAAAACAACATAACGCGAGGTTATTGCGGTTATAACCTTGACAGTGGATATAATGATCCTTCCCCAAACTAATTTCGTTCAATTGTTTCTACAATAGAACTGCGTTGTTTACACAGATTATTTTTTCTGATAAAGTATATGTTTCTTATCATATTTCATAAATTGTACAGACTCGCGAAATTTTGCTAAAATTAAATGTTGAAAATAGAAACGTTAGCTGATTCAAAAGCTTGTGTGGAAAATATGTATATAAAGAACAGCTGTGTTTTATTTTGATAGCCTTGTCTTGTAACGCTGAGCTATGCTCCTACATTTCGAAAATTAAGTATGTTTATGTTTTAAAATAAGTCTGTGTTAATGGAGATTTTGACTTCCTGAAAAATATTACCTTTTTAACCGGAAACACAAGTACTACATGTTTGGATGTGAAATTACATAACTAAGAGGGTGGTCTGAATAGTTTCCGACCTCACCGTGAAGATGGCAGCAGTCGTAATTGACGTGAGTGTTTTTGTGAAAATGAACAAAATCGAGTATCTAACTGTCAGTAAATATTTGTTTGATGAAAGATGAGTTGGGTAAATACAGTGTTGCGATGTTTGTTAATTAAAACGGTCAACATTAATCCAATAACTGTGACAGGTTTGATTTTTGTTAACATTTCAGTTTTCTTCCAGGCAGTTATTATTGTAGTGGTACATGACCACCCTGTAGTACTCCTAAATTTAGTATCTGGAATTTCATTGTCAATCTTCACCAAAAGCTTTCATCACAGTTAGGATAAATGGATAAATAATTGAAAATGTTGAATCAATAAAATATATAGGTATATATATATATATAGGTGAAAAATTAAAGCTTCCGCCTTTTGTTGGGTACTTCGACAAAATTTAAGCAAAGACTTTTATTATATACTTACACTTATACTTTTTTTAATTCTCTCTAGCTTTCAATGGACTTTGCCATCATCATCAGGAGCTGCAATTACATCGATAACAGTAGCAACAATAGTGTAAAATGAATTTAAATTAACTTAACCCCTTACTGCATGATTTTTTTGTTTTTGTTAAAATAAATATATGTGCTATTTCATATTAGAAAAGTAACCAGAAAAATATATAAAAAAATTATAGATGCCTATTTTTTTAAAAAAATAGCCTTTTTCGACATGTGCCAAATTTGACACAAATTGCAATAGTTGAATAATAACGGAAAAATTTACTGAAACCATATATGTCATAAATCGTTAAAAATACATGGGAAAACACCTAAACTAAATGTAATTTGGAATAAACATTTATTTACTCCAGATGAAAACGGTCTTTGTTCAAACATAATCTAACATTACATTTATCACACCAAACTTGTGTTTTCCCCTTACACTCAGGAAATTTGCATCTTTGGCGATCTTCATGCCACTCAGAAAGATGTCCCACATTGTCGCGACGAATTTCTTGGGCTGGTATTTCCGCAAAAGGATATTTCCTTTTTTTTAAATCCAGTTGAGGCTGTAGTGAGCTATTAGGTCTGCCTCGCTTTTTTGAAGTTACGTGGGATCTTGTTAGAATTTCTGCTAAACCAAGTTTGAATTCAGCCAGTGGCAAATAGTCATCAGAATTGACCTCAGTGAGAGCTCTTCTCCACAATATCCAACTATTACAGCACAACATGTCGAGGAAATGGAAAAATATTCTTAGGTAAAATTTTTTTGACCTTATAAGTATCCTATGGTATCCTAACATCGAGTCAAGTAGATCAACACCTCCCATATAGTTGTATACTCTTTGGACGAGGAATCATAATGTGCTTTTTTTCCTTTCTGCAAAATCTCTGTACTTCGGGAATGTGCCGACTGCCTACGTAAGTTGATACTGTGGTAACTATTTTGTTATCATACCAGGAAACTACTGAAACATATACGCCATCGACTCGAGCAACTCTCTCCATAATTGTACCTCTACCTTTTTTCTTCATCACATATTCCTTAGGAAATTCGCAATCTGGCACACGATTTTTGCGGACAGTACCAAGAGGCAAAATGCCCTCTTTGCTGAGATAAACCACTAATGGAAGGCTGGTGAACCAGTTATAAAAAAAAAACCTTGTAATTTTGATTCCTTGGAACTGACTCTGTAAGTTTCACTACCACATTACTACTTGCCCCAAGATCTGGTTGATAGGCTGCAACTTAGTTGGCCCAGAAAAGAAGTCGAAATCATAACTGAAGCCTGATACTCCGCTTAGTACGAAAACTTTATAGCCCCATTTATGAGGTTTTTTTGGGTTATATTGCTTTAGGGTTGATCGAGCTTTTGTTGGTATAATTTGTTCGTCAACTGCAAGATGCTCTTCTTTTGGGACAAGTAGGTACCTCTCTCGTACTTTTTCTAAAAAAGGACGAATTTTGAACAGCTTATCGTAACCAGGTTCATCGCGATTTTGTTGCTTCGTATTATCATTGAAGTGAACAAAACGTTTTATTTCTTCAAATATGTTACATTTCATAGCTTCGGTTATTGCAAGAGCTCTCAGTGTACTACTCCAATAGCTTCTAGTGGATGGCAGGTGCGCTACAGATATGTATATGTCTTCGTCAGATACCCTCAACTGTTAATCTTCCCAATCAAAACAAACCTTGTTTTTTTTTTCTTTCCCTTGTTTGCTGCAATGAGAGTTGAAAGAGGAACATCGTCTTCACTATCGGAAAAATCACTTTCTTCAATCACAATATCTTCGACCATCTCTCTATCAAGCTGTTCTTCTTCACTGGTATCTTCCACCAGAACTTGAGAAAATGTTTTTCGGTAAAAATCATCATCTGACAAATTTTCATCTTCACTGCCACTCAAGTTCAGAATCGCAACAGTTTTAGCACCATAAAATCGTTTTGCACCCATCTGAAAAAGGGGCAATAATATAGTCAGCTTTTCTTTTACTGCAAGTTGTTCCGATTATGGCACAAGAAAACAAATGACGATAAATCAACATGTGTATGAGTTGAAGGACATAATTTTACAAAAGTCACAATAAGACATACTTACCAGAACGTAGATAATTTTAGTTGCACCAAAAATTTGATTTTTGAACGTTTTATGGCCGCAACAACTTTATAAGCGAATGTAGTAACACGTGCTTACGGGCCGCTAAACGAAATCTGACGCAATTCATAAAATACGTGCTAGAGGGCGACAATGTTTCTTGGCGATAGAGAAGCGAGCGTGCCAGATATGGAACAGTTTAGGTTAAGGTCTTTAGCTGTTGGGGGACTTGAAAAATAACATATATTTTACGTGTGCCAAATTTGGGGCAGTATGCGGTAAGGGGTTAACTTACAGTAGTATGTGAGGATGTTGCTAATTGTTGTTTACGTATAGGATGAGGGAAACGTCCAGTAACATGGTGAGAGCTGGATACATGGTACAATGGTCAAAATTATATAAAATATGACAAGACAAGTTAAAAACAGATTAAAAATTATTTAAAAAACATTAGAGCATTACGTCGTGAAGCCACTTGATGATTGCACAAAATGGTGGTCATGGAATAATGAGTGAGATGAACCTTTGACAGAAGGCCGAAGGTTGTCAATGTCTGTGTTGAAAGATGGAACGAATTGTGGGCGTGTGCCAAACGTTGCCAAATCACTTCAGATGATGTGATTTTCAGAATGTTATGTAAGAAATTGTTAAACCGACCAGAGGCAGTTGAATAAACTATATTTTAATTAATGGGAATTTTAAATTAACAATTATTAATAAATCGTGAGAAGAGAATTATTAGATTTTGAGTGGAATGAAATTTGTTGGTGGAATCGGCCAAAACACAGATTATATTTATGGTTGTGAAAAGTCGAAATTTGGGGAGATATGTAAGTTCTCCAATTTTTCGCAGTTTAGCAAATATGAGTAAATGACACTCAGTTGTTTAACATCTGTCTTTTTGTTGATACAGTTGTTATTCATGAAAATGTGGGACATTTCCAGGAATAAACGATTGGAAAGGTGTTTTTCTTTATCAAGAACTTTGATACTTGTGTAATTCATAGAATGCCGTGTATCAAAGTTCTTGATAAAGAAAAACACCTTCCCCAAATTTCGACTTTTCACAACCATAAATATAATCTGTGTTTTGGCCGATTCCACCAACAAATTTCATTCCACTCAAAATCTAATAATTCTCTTCTCACGATTTATTAATAATTGTTAATTTATAATTCCCATTAATTAAAATATAGTTTATTCAACTGCCTCTGGTCGGTTTAACAATTTCTTACATAACATTCTGAAAATCACATCATCTGAAGTGATTTGGCAACGTTTGGCACACGCCCACAATTCGTTCCATCTTTCAACACAGACATTGACAACCTTCGGCCTTCTGTCAAAGGTTCATCTCACTCATTATTCCATGACCATCATTTTGTGCAATCATCAAGTGGCTTCACGACGTAATGCTCTAATGTTTTTTAAATAATTTTTAATCAGTTTTTAACTTGTCTTGTCATATTTTATATAATTTTGACCATTGTACCATGTATCCAGCTCTCACCATGTTACTGGACGTTTCCCTCATCCTATACGTAAACAACAATTAGCAACATCCTCACATAGTTAAGTTAATTTAAATTCATTTTACACTATTGTTGCTACTGTTATCGATGTAATTGCAGCTCCTGATGATGATGGCAAAGTCCATTGAAAGCTAGAGAGAATTAAAAAAAGTATAGAGTCCTCTTTGCTTAAATTTTGTCGAAGTACCCAACAAAAGGCGGAAGCTTTAATTTTTCACCTAACTGGTCTAGACGACAATGACCACGTCTCAAGTTATATATATATATATCTCTATAAAGCGTGTCCGCAAAGTTGGGGTTTTCCTTTTCAGACACAACTGCGCTTGATATAACAAAACTAATGCTTGGTGAAACGTGAGCGAACAAGTAAAAAAAATAAATGAAAAAGTACTCACTGTTCCGTTGAATTGATATTCCAAGTACGGCTCTGTCGTAAAATCCGTATTTACATCGTAGTCGTACGTCGTATAACTGTACCCTGGCGCTGGCGCTGTGGACGTGATCGAGGGATAGGACAGGACCGGCTTCGGTTTGGTTCAGGTTTGATTGAGTTTGTGGAGTCCAGTATCTCGGTTCTCTTAAGACATTGGTGTATATGCTACTAAGGAAATCAACTTATTTTCTCAGAATCTACATATCGTGTAAAGGAAAACCCCAACTTTGCGGACACCCGGTGTATATACATATATATTGATAGTAAACTAAAGTTTGAGGATCACTATGAATACATTATTTCAAAGATTGCAAAAAAAAACAAATTACTTTCATAGGGCTTCTCATAGTCTTGGTACCTATTCCAAAAAAATAGTTTATAATACAATTATTCTACCGCATTTACTATATTGTTCAACTATCTTGTACACTGCCAATGAATCTGTGTTCTCAAAATTACAAGTCTTGCAAAATAAATCTATGAGAATAATATTGAATAAAAATAAGTACACCAAAATAAAATCTATTTTACAAGAATTGCAGTGGTTGAATATAAAAATTTCATATCATATTTGGTACTTATTTTTATATTTAAAATAAAAAATCATCTTTTGTCAGAACATTTAGAACACTACATAGAATTGAATAATCATTACCACAATTTTTATACAAGAGGAAATATAGATTTTCATTTACAAAATTGCAATAGTAATATAACTAGCAAATCAATATTTCAGAAAGGATTACTTGAGTTTAATAAACTAAATAATGATATAAAGTCTACTTGTAATTTAAAGATATTTAAAAGAAAATTAAAGGAATATTTCATGGACAATGAAAATTCTTAGAGATACAAATTTTATTTTTTTTTCTGAATATCTGTATGTTATATAATTGTTTAGTTTTTTAGAAGAATGTAATTGTAGCAATCATGCTAAATTAATCTTAAAAAAACAAACAAATAAACATAAATGTGCACATCTAATTGTTGGTATTGCCCCTAATGCATTAAGTTTTTGCGACAAAATTTTGCAGATCAAAGTATCAAGGGTGCTGGTTAGGTCTATGAAAAGTGCAATAACCAGGTCTCCAACATCAAGATTATCATATATTGTTTGCATTACCTCCTATGTTGTACTTTCAGTAGATCGCGAGTTTCTGAATTTATGTTGGGAGGGGATGATTATGTTATATTTAGTAAGAGAGGAGGAGAGTAAAAGGGAGAGAGAGGGTGAGAGAAGGGGAGAGATATAGGGTGGGAGAAGGAGAGGGAGAGAGAAAGAGAGAGGGAGAAAGAGAGACACAGCGAAATAGAGAGAGTGATGGGGAGAGTGAGATATAGGGGAGGAGAGGGAGAGAGAGAGTCAGAGAGAGAAGGAGAGAGGGAGGGGGAGAGAAATAGAGAGGGAGAAAGAAAGAGAGAGGGAGAGAGATACGACGCCCGAAAAAAATTTAAAAATCACATTGAAACTGACCTGATTTATATTTGTTATCTTTCAGGTGAAGCTGGGCTTAAACGCCGGGCTGATAGTCTTCTGCTGGGGCGACGAGAACGCCGACCCAGCTACCATCCGTTTCCTCAAACAGCTCGGCTTGCACGGTGTCATTTACGACAAAATCCACGAATACTCCAGCAAGGAGGTAAAGGAGAGCATCTTCATGGTGGAGGCCCGCGGGTCTCAGAAAGAGCTCATCCAATTGGCCGCGGCCACATCGGAAACGCCTCAGTCTCCCCCTGCGCAGCCGATCATCAAAGAACGGGGGCTAGATTACGAGGCTGCCAAGGACCAACTGCCCGGCGTTATGTCCACCGCCACTTCGTTGGAAAGTTTGGAAAGTCAGCTTTGCGACTATCAAAAGAAGCAGCAGAATGCGATGCAGTAAAAACGAACGTTGATGTTTTTTGTCTATTTTTTTAACGGCACTACGTTTAGAGCTTGGAGGGTGTAGCAGATGTACTGGGTCTATTTTTTAATACACACGCCTTCATTCAGTAGGAGATAAGTTGATGTTAAAATGCTGTCAAATATTTTACAACAAAATTTCTAAAGTCATAGAATATTTGGCATTTGACACGTTGGACTAAATATGCACCTTCTGTCCATATAGTTCGTTTCCGACCCTATGAATCTAACCAAATTCTGCGGAATTAAGAATTTTTGAATCAATATTTTTGACGAAAAAATCAGATATTTTTTTCTACCTGTCAAATCCATTCAGTGACTCAATCCTTATCGACTGAGACTATCGAAGGTGATTTAATACAGGAAATTTCTAGTTCTACAGAACTTGGGCTGAGTTAAGGAAGATCGTGTGAGATGCAGAAAGCGTTCTTTTCATTAAGTTGCCTTTTTTCAATGTTGATAGTATCGAATTTTGACACTACAGTGTTTGACACCATTTTTGAATGAGCTGATATTTGCATATCTTCAGCTTCAATGAAAATAATGGTAAAACGAACTGGATTAAAAGCGTGCTGCTTGATAACTCATGTTAAAATGATAAAATTATATGCTAGAGAAATATTTTGAAATTGATGTTTCCAGGCTTGCCTTCGTGTTACATTTTACAGGATGCTGAAAAACAGTTTAAAACTTGTTAGTAATCGGACTGATAGAAATGATAAACCTACATCGTCTATGCATCAACAACAGTGCTCAAGAGAATAAATGATTAAACAAAAAAACTGTAACCTGTAACAAAGTTCAAATAGTAGCAAAACTCTACCTCCTGACTATATTCGTAACTAAAATAGTATATTTTACTTGAATTGGTCAATAGAGGATAGCTTAAGTGCCGGTCAAAAGTTTGAGACCACTATAAAAAAAAATAAGAAAACAAATAAAAGTACTACATATTTAAAACTATGAAAAACAGTTTTTATTTCCATGTTACACACAAGATTTAAAATGAAAAAAGTACATGAAGTCTTGACGAATACAATGTTCTAAAGAAAACACACACAAAAGAGTTTATTCACATTTTTCATCAAAATATCCTCTTTTGCATTTTATGACCTGTGTTACCAATCGTGGCGTGCGAGATCTCTTGCGAGATATTACTCCAGCTTCCTTCTAATGCATTCCACATAGCCTGCTGTGAAGAAGGACATTGTTCCCGAACGTTTCGGTCAAGCTCTTCCCACAAAAGCTCTATAGGGTTAAGATCAGGACTTTGGGGTGGCCATGTCATGTTTTCCAACACTTTCTCCGACTGTTTCCCGTCTAAATAGCCTATACATAATTTTGCACTGTGCTTTGGATCATTATCCTGTAGGAAAGTAAATCCTTTGCCGATTAACTTGCGTCCGGAGGGAATAGCATTTTTCTCCAAAATTACTTTATGCTGCCGCTTTTTCATAATTTGGATCAGCCTGAAAAACAACCCCAGGCCATAACAGATCCGCCTCCATGCGTAACAGTCAGGACTACACACTATGGGCGGAACGTCGAACCGAAAATTTCAAATTTAGATTCGTCACTCCAAAGTACTTTTTCGAAATCGTCTTCGGTGCAGTCTCGATGGACTAGGGATTATTGCAACCTTTTTTTGTTATTCTGCGGTTTGAGAAGAGGTTTTCGAACATCAACGCGACCAAACAACTTGGCGTCTCGTCTTTGCACATTAGACAATGACATAGATTTTTTCGAGATTTGTTGACGAATTTCTGAGGCTATTAGGCGTCTATTTCGCTTGCTGGTTACCACAATAAATTTGTCTTCACTACGAGTCGTAGCTTTTGGTCTCCCGGAGTGCGGACGATCTTGATGACTGCCAGTTTGTTTGTACCATAGTGTGATGAACACAAGCCTTCGATAACTTTTTCCATTTTAGAGAATAACTGCAAGAATCACAAAAGCAGACTAACTGTGGATATTCGTAGATAACCATGAAAAATCGGGCTAAAATAAACATTAACCCTTTCGCAAGTAGCATGTTGATGTAGGGATACGAGACTGCGTAACATTAGTGTCAAAAGAATAAGCTTTTAGGCAATCTTTATAAACACACCTGCATATTACTTTTTATCACCAATATTTTGAAAATATTTACTAATAAAAGTTTTTTATTAGTTGTCTCAAACTTTTGACCGGCAATGTAGCTAATATGTACAAAAATTGCTGTATTTTTCATTGTTGGAATCATGCGAGAATTTTCAACGTTAGACTCTATTTTGCTTCCGCTAAGCACCTTGTTATCAAAATTGTATTTTACTTTGCAAGCATGGAAGAAAAATTTCTTTTTCTTTTTGTACTAAATGGTATAAAGTCATACCCTGGACTCGCACGGTGGTATCGTGGTAAGTGCCAATGAGACGGCGTGATGCAACTATGAAGCGATTGGAGACACTTTACAAATTCGGTTAGTTAGGGCATCAGCAGCTTGAAAGTGGCGTTGGCAGGATTGAATTCTCGATCCTGAAATTTGTTTGGCAGCTGGTGGAGATGCGGGTACGAATCCCGCTGGCGCCCATTTTCCCTTTCAAGTTGTCTGCTGAAATAAATCCTAGTGCATCTGTTACGTCTTCAAGCTCATTGCCTCTAAAATTTGCTACAAAAGTGCGCAAGACTCGTGATTATACTTCGAGTGCCGTTTTTTTTTATTTCAGTGGTTTCTAAAATTTCGGTTAGTACAGATTGACCGATTCGGTGGATTAACGTACGGGTACGGGTTATTAAATCAATTTCTACAGTTTACATGTTTATTTTATAATTTTTCAAATATACTACAATGTTGTATTATATGGATAATTTTAAAGCTATTTGAGGACACAGCAGGTTGATTCTTGATTTGATCTGAATACACAAATAAGGGTGGTCAAAAATTAAATTATATGGTCCAAGGAAAAACATAACATCCTGAGTATACAAAAAGCTCGGGTTGTGAGAGCCAGCAGCTTTTTGTAAAACAAATATTATTGGTAGACGGTAAGTGAATGTTCGAGCGTTTTTTTAAGATTTCAAATTTCATCACAGATTCTTCTGATTCAGTAATTACATTCTGAGCAACCTTTTTTTAAAACACTGTTAACTAAACGTGTTTTTTGGTCCAATTGGAGAGTTGGCAACATTTGATGAATTTTTGATCAGATTGATACTCAACTTGTTCATTCCTCCATCACTCAAATACCAGTGTATATTTTCCACACATATTGAAAATTCACAAGGTATGAAGAATGCAGTTCAAGTGTACAAAAGGTCTGTCAAAAATCGAATTTGTGTGACTTTTTTGTACTGTAGTATAGATTTCCCAATCACAATCTGATGAACAAAAGGTTGAACATTTTAATGACTGTGATATTGTCATGTTATTTCACTGGGGATTCAAGAAATCAGTTTCACACAAATTCTAATTTTGAGTATCCAGAATTGATTTTCGGATATGTACCGGAATTCTAAGGACCTAAATCAGTGGTTCTACCTTTTTTTTCTCATATACCTCTTTAGAAGTTTTACTGGTTTCATTCCTACCATATTCCAAAACCTCGTCAAGAAGTGCATAAACTGTTATCGATACAAATGTTCGTAGTGGTAAAAAGTATAAGGAAACATATTTTCTCATATCCTTCTTATAATATGATTACAAATTTAATAAGAATAAAATTAAACGTTAATAATCTAAAACGTAACTTGCAAACCAACAACGCAAAAATTGTATAATAAAGTGTTAATGGGAGAGATACACTTGATGCTTCAACGGCAATATTTGGATTAAGTTTTTTAAGGAATAAGCGTAAATCTTCCAGGCCTGAAATATACAAACTGCTCCTTTTTTCTGTTATGTCCGTTCGTACCGCCTTGCTTAAATTGAAGCTTAATCTAAGGTGGACTTTATCCCACAACTGTGCACCTCTTTTCTTTGTAACCTTGAGTGAAGCTCAAATGTCAAAAAGTTGGACCGAAGATTTGTTGAGCTTAAGTTGCACGTAACCTCGAAATACATACAAGTTTTGAAGGTTGTGATGTGGTTTGTGAGAAAATCATAGATCTTTTAGAAGAATTATATGAGCCCGTTATTTACAAAACTTACTCTCTTTGATTTACTTTTCAGGAGCAACAAAAAAGATTTTCAGCTTGCATGTAAATTATCTTTTCGAATTATTATATTTTTCAAACAATACGAAACATTCGTTAATAATAAGCCATGATGATCGTAAATTTGAATCTCTTACATATTTTGAAAAAAGAACTTTTTTCGCAATGAGATATTTTTGTAAATAAAATAGGAACAGAAACTCATTAAGGTTTTATTAAATGAATGGTTTAGTAATTAAACAACGTATTACCTGTTACAAACATTAGAAAAAGTTCCAAGATTCTTCTTATTCAAAAATTCAAGAAACAGTAAGAAAGAAATTAAATGATTTTAGTGTCGTTTTCTGTCACCTTCATTGTGATCATCAAATTTATTTTCTAACCCTTGTACAGTTTTTTGATTCTGCTCAATACCAATTCTTACGTTTCATCTGGCAATTTCTTTTCTTTTCCACTCCCAGTTTGAAGCAATGACAATTTTTCAACAGCCTTCTTGTTTCCTAATCGCAAATGTTGTAACATTTCCTTAAACTCTCTTTGGCCGTAGGATAATTTTCCGGCAATCGGGATTTGAAGAAATTTGTAATCGTTTGCCAGGTGTCGCTCTTTTCTCTCCAAGTACGAGGGAATCAGCTGTTTTGTTTTATATTTCTAAAAGAAAAACAAAAGGTAGGCCTCCGTGACGGTGGTAACCTCTTCGTTCGACTCAAAATTCTGCCCGGTGAGTGACTTTTAAGTTTGGATCGCACGGAGAATCTGGAGAATATGGTGGATGGGCAGCAGTTTGAAGCCTAGTGAGAGTAGTGCACTTTTTTCGTCGCAGTTTTTTTTTGCTATTCGGCGTCGAATCGGCCCAGTAATTCTGCATATTAGAGCCCTGTGCCCTTAATAGATTTGTAACAACACAAATCTTTTTCTAATAGATGCGAGGAGCGAAACTCTATCATACATTTTCTCGCAATTTCCCAGAGCTCAGAATTCTTCGGGTATTTCCGCCATAATGGTTGATAGCCTTTTTTAAATTTCACCTTCAGTACTTCATTAGTATTAAGCTAAAGTAGCTCGTCTTTTATCACTTCTATTTCATCTAATGGGTATATGATTCATTATGGTATAAGAATTTCGAAAATCTATTCTTGAAGTAATTGAAAGCCATTAAAATTTTAAACATATGTTCATCAAGACATTTTGACTCTAACAAGTTTGGAAACTTGTACCGAATATCGAATATACAAGTTTTACGTTGGTCTTCTTAAAATATTATTTTATAACATTTTTGTTTCTTACTATCGAAACAAGATAAATTTTCCCTCAGGGAATCTTAAAAACCGGACAAGCAAAACAGGAAGCAGCATAATATAGGAGAGAATAGATGCAGCTTTTTGCAATAGATATCCAAAAAAGCTCTTCTTGTATTACCCATTATCAACAGTCCAATTTTGAAAGTACCTTACATGTACATGTCAAATTAAGTGTTACCGTTAATTGAGGCCTTTTCGGTGTTTTCATCTTTGTTATTTCAATTTGTGTGTTTCAAACGAATCTGACGTGCTGAGATCTGAGGCTCCTTGCCGAGCTTTCATCAAAAGATAAAATTTATCCTGAACAATGTATTTGGCGATCTGTGTGAATTTTTCATGTGGGAAAATTGTAGAATAGTTTTACTTCTATTGTGTAAGGATTGTTGAATGCAATTTTTGGAGCTGTGGCTGATGGAAAACTCTTATTGAGCAACCTCAAAGTTGATGATTCTTGTATAAGTAATATTAATTTATTCTAGTTATAGGATAGAGTTTTCAATAGCCCAGCTGTTTTCTTGATTTTTAGTGTTCACTTTTTGCCAAGATGATCTTGTATACTTTTCAAGGCACTACTACACGTTGAAGAAGTCAAAAAAACTCATGTAATATTTTTTCTAAGATTGATACGGAAGTAAGTGTGAAATCTTTTTATCCAGTATACAACGTACAAATGTTTCTTATAACTGTGTATGGTATTACTGGACTAGGTTTAAAAATAAAAAAAAAATAAAAAACGTAGAATAATGTGATAAAATACATTCTTCCAATAATCTAGCATAGCAGTTATTGATGTTAGGGGATTAATAATTCTTCATAGTGGCTATCTATAAGTCTTCTTATCACTATCTTCAATCCTATTAGAGAAACACTTCAACTCTTTCCATTCTGCCTTGCGCTTTCGGGCTCCCGTTATTTATGGGGCAGAGTGCAGAAAGATATTATAATCTTGGAAGGAAAGCTTATTTTTGCAAGCAGGTTTAAATATCACCCTATATCCACATATTTATATATGCCAAAGGAAGGTATGAATAAAATTTTATAGGATATTCTCAAACTGCTTTGTTATATTTCCCTATAGATGTGGAAATATTTTTGATTAAAATTGCTTTGTTCTTTATTCAATAAATTTTGTTGTGCGTATACATTTTATTTTTGGATGTGGGCGTGGTAGTAGGCACCCGGTTTAACGTTTGACGTATTGTACAGGTTCTGGCACAAATGGGGTAAAAGTGGTGTTTTGTTTCAAATGATTCATACTAAATGACGAAAATATTTAGAAAACCTCATTATGACATATTGCTTTAAAGTCATACAGATCCTATTGGATGTTGAAAATATCTTTATTTTTTCGGCGGCGGATACGTGCTTAATTCTGATAAAATACTTTATATTTTACTTAATAGGAAAGATATTTACTCACCATACTGTTTGATTCCAGGTTGCTGGTTTTTGTTTATAAGTACAAATATATATCGAATGTCAGGTGTACTTTTTCGTGATCAATTTCTAAGACAAACGTTTGATTCTGAATCTGAATCTAGTTAAGTCTCCGGCGAGTTTAAAAAGTATATATTGCTGTTTTTTCCAATACAAAATTTTTCATTTTCTGCATCATTCAAACAAAATGGTTCACATTGCAATTAGAAGCTGAATTCACCCGAAAGGTAACCTCACTAGTTCAACCGAATCTTTATCAGGTATTTGGTATATAGGGTAACTTATTCGTTGTAATGAGAATCTTTAAGGAGGCACGCCCCTTTTTTTAGATTATTTTTTAACTTCCTGTTTGCAGCTGTATTCTAAATCCTGTTCTTCTGATAATTTCATGGTGTGTATAGAGATGACTAAAAAACAATGTTTTCATTTTTTTGTCAAAAAATGCTTTTTTTGTGCATTTTATTGTGCACTCTTTCTTCAATCGGCACTTGTTAACAAATATAAGTACAGCTTGTGTGTGAATATTTCTCTTTTATGGAAGAATGAAACGAGTGATTACTTTTGGTCTTGTCACTTTTCCTTTTCGACTTTTTTGAAGCCTCGTCTCGCAGCAAGATGAGTTTTGAAGGAAAGCAAAGATTTTTCGAAGAGAAAAAGTGATAAGAACAAAAGTAATCACTCGCTTCGTTCTGCCATAAAAGGGGAATATTCACAATTTCAGAGCTGTGCTAATATTTGTTAACAAGTTCCAATTGAAGAAAAAATGCACAATAAAATGCACAAAAAAAATCAAAACATTGTTTTTTAGTCATCTCTATACACACCATGAAATTATCAGATGAAAAGGATTTAGAAAACTGGTGCGAACAGGAAACTTAAAAAAATCTTAAAAGGGTCGTGCCACCCTTAAAGTTCCTTTATTGGGAATTGAACAATTTTTATATGAATGGTCCGTAGGGAGCTCTCATTTTTGTAGTTATACAGGTTTTCGACAATATAATATATAATACACTGCAACATTAAATAAGGAAGCAATAAATAAAAGTCAAAAGTCTACAAGGTGTACCGTACTGAAGGAACCTTTTTTTATATCTTAAAAGTTCTAAATTCATTTTTTACGTGTATACATATTTAATATCACATATCTCAACCGATTTTGTTGAAATTTTGCACGATAACAAACTTCCAGGACTAATTTTTTATCAAAATCAACGCCTTTCGATCGATCAACCCTGTATCTCCGTAAAAACTAAACTTGGAACTTTTTTATTTCCAGATCTGGAAAGGACTCTGTCCCTACTATTTGCCATTTCACTATATCTATTCAAGTACGGAACACTCTGTATAAAATCGATCTAAATAAAATGTTAAGCCTAAGGAACGCTAATATTATCATCTTAAAAATTATTGGTGAAAGGTGGAAGTATTATCTACTTTTCATCTAGGACACATTGCGCATTCTAACATAATCACATTATAGAATCATATTGACGTTTCGGGTGCCACGACAGTTTGTTACAAAATGCAAAATAATATGAATATGTTGGTTCTCAAATGCATAACTTGTGGCAGCCGAAACATCAGTAGTGGTTTTAAACACGTGGTTTCAATCCGTAACTAAAGGGTAGATGAACTGTTATCCTCAGTAACTTAAGCAAAATGAGCCTATATCCTTCCCAAAAGATTGCTGAAAATTCTATGTAAGAAATCATTTTTAGAGCATGCCTTAAAAATCGGCGTCTCCAGTTTCTGCAAATATGATGGTATAATCAAATTTTGAGGCAGAATATATTTTTATATTAATGTATTAATTATTCCAGGCAAAGTGCCAAAGGACACTGAGAAGTGATTCGAAATTATAGGTAAACATCATGCTATGATTATTGTGATATAGATATATTTTCTTTCTGCACCTTTATAGAAAGTTACAGATAGAGAAGATACGAAAAAACCATCAAATGGAAAAATATACAAGAGGATGGTCACGCCTTCAGAGAAAACGTAGCCTCAAGATCTACTATGTGATATTAATGTGTGATATTGTTAATTATGCTGAGATATGTAAATAAAATGTTGA